TTTGTCACTCCATTTGTCACTCCATTTGTCACTCCATTTGTCACTCCATTTGTCACTCCATTTGTCCAGGGTGTCCCTAATTTTTCCCATGATTTCCCATTGTTCTCTCACTTTTTACATTCATGTCATCCATGAATTAATTCAAAGACCAAGAGGACCTGACTTCCATGAATATTCTCAAGCTGTTTAATCAATTACTTGCATATTTTGAATTTATTTGAGGCAAAGAAAGAGTAAATAAAATAAATTTATATTTTACAACCATCACTCCCTGTATGGGGCTCTTCCATAAATTTTGCATCTCACTCAACTAAACTCAATATGCACAACATATGACGCTCAACGAAGTGTACTCATTTTGCTCTCACTGCAAGGTCAGGCTTAACAATCAAAGCCAACAGGTGATCTCTGAACAATGCCTGGAAAAAAATGAAACTTGTCTGGCTTGAATGGATTTGAATAAGCACCTCTAAATATCAGACTTTTTGAGCAGTCACTATTGCTTTTTTTTTAGTTGTGATCTTTTTATGTATGTTACTAACAGGGTAAYGCCATTGATTCTTTTGGTATTGGTACTCATCTGGTCACGTGTCAAAAACAACCAGCATTAGGTTGTGTCTTTAAGGTATAGTTACAAATGCTTGACGTCTAGATTTTAAAGACTTCCTTTATGGCCTATGAACTTCAGCCATTAAAGCAATTAGGAATAGTGTATCGGATCCTTGTGCCCAGATGCCTTCAGATTTTATTAAATCCTGAAACAACCTCTGGGCTGATCAAAGTCAGGGCAAAGCTAACGTAATCCAACCCCAAAATCACTAGGGCTGATCTAATGCATCACTAATTTACAACCCAAACACCCAAACTGGGATTTAGCAGGTTGAGTTTTGTGGAGGGAGAAATTGATTTGAGATTTGATCCGACAAGTGCCAGTTCTGGCCGGACATTGTCTGATGTCTGCCCATCATTTTAAGCCCTGGGTCCAAGAGCAAATCCCTTGTGTCAAGGGAGAGACCTAACAATCTCGAATGGTATATGATGCAGAGTTTTAGAATTGAACTTGAGAGATGAGAGGAGAGTACACTGCCACTAACCTGTAACCCTTGGTTTCCAAAGCCTTTTCTTCCTCACAAAATCAAAAATGTACAAAGTGCTGAGAAAGGTTATTTTATAAATTTCTTTATTTCATTGCTGTTTTTTACCCTTGTTTTAATAGTTGGTTGAATTGAGTGGAAAAGCCCGCATAAAGCTTAGTCAAGACATTGAAAAAATTACAATTCCAGGCAAGAAATCAGTGTACAGACTGTATGGAGCAGATGGTGAGTGTTACAGTTCAATAGCGTAACATATAGAAGCTGCTGTATTTTATCATTGGTTATTATAAAATAACTTTTAGAAATCTCTCATTCTGATTGGTTGTTTGAGTGTGCTAGCTTCATGAGAGCACAAAGCATTTGCACACACTTTCTGTTACAACATTTGTATCCAAAATTGGTGGCGTGCATCCCATCCCATGAGAATAAAAGGACAAAAGACGTGTCCACTATGTTTGTTGACATGACAAGAAAAGCCAAGACCGAATGTTTTGTCAAAGTCAACCCAAAATAGTGGCTATAATTTTACCTGCACCTCAAGAATAGATGATATTCTAATAAGCACTTGGGGATTGGCAGAATGCTCAAGAAGTATAAAGAAATAAGATTTCAATATTTTGTTTTCAAAAGGTGTCGTATTATCATTGGATTTTGCAACTACAAGAAGTTCAATACACATTACAATTTTTTTTGTGTTGGAAATTTTCCATAGTACTCGCATTTAACTTTGCAAACTCGTTTTTTAGTCTTTCCAGGCATTACCCATAATGATTTTAATACAGTATGTAAATGAGATCTCCTTGTCACCACAGGAAGCCCACTCCTAGATCTTTTGCAACGAGATTCTGAGTCTCCACCAGTTGAAGGTCAAAGAGTGTTATGTAGACATGCATTTGATGAAGCAAAACGTGCTTATGTGTGTCCCTCTAATGTAGAGCCATTATTGAAACTTTGCTGGAAAGATGGAAAGGTGAGTCACATGAAATGATGAAGTCCTTCAGTAAGGTCTTTTAGACTTCAAAAAGGTTAATTATATTTCTCCTAGAACTAGCTTCTGTTTCTTCTAGAACTAGCTTCTGTTTCTTCTAGAACTAGCTTCTGTTTCTTCTAGAACTAGCTTCTGTTTCTTCGAAAACTAGCTTCTGTTTCTTCTAGAACTAGCTTCTGTTTCTTCTAGAACTAGCTTCTGTTTCTTCTAGAACTAGCTTCTGTTTCTTCTAGAACTAGCTTCTGCACCCTTTACYCCTGGTATCTCTCCATCAGTGATCYGTTTTGAACACTTTATAAGACAGTTCCTCAGCTCAATGAGATTATTTGAGAAACGTTTCCTATAAACTGTATAAACTGTAATTCTTTCTATATTGATTGACAGATGACAAGCAAAAGGCTTTTTACCTATTAGCTGAACCAGAATACACCCACTACTGCCACTACTGCTGCTGCTGCCGCTGCTGTTGGTTTTGTTACTGTTGTTGATGCTGCTGCTGTTGTCGTTGCTGCTGCTGCTGTTGTCGTTGCTGCTGCTGCTGTTGTTGCTGTTGTTGTTGCTGTTATTGTTGCTGTTGTTGTCGTTGTTGCTGTTGTTATTGCTGCTGCTGCTATTGTCGTTGCTGTTGTTGTTGCTGTTGTTGTTGCTGTTGTTG